CGAATGCAGAAAATAGCCCAAAAAGTAAAGCCAAAAATGTTTTAAGAGTGGGTGAGGGGCGGGGGTTTAAAAGTACAAAATAAAAGCAGACAACAACAACTTCGCATGAGAGCATTAGCGCCCCATCTTGCTCGCACTCACTGACCGCCGCCCACCCGCTCTCTCTTGTAGCCTCACTCCCTCTCTTTCTCACACTTGGTTTCGTTCTCTCTGGGGAATTTTGTTGTATTATTTGTGCGAGTTTGTCGGCTTGTCGTTTTGTCGCGTCGTCGCTTTGTCGAGTCGTTCGTCGTTTAGTCGCTTGGTCGCTTTGTTGTCCGATTCGTTTTATGACGTTGCGAGTTTCATGTCTGCGTGAGAGTGTGTTAGTATGTGTGTGTGTGTGCGGTATTCAGTTGCCAACGGCTCTGCCGCCTTGCACTTGTTGTTGCTGTTGCGTCACCCGCACTCTTTTACCCACACCAAAACACGAACGTTCCTGCGCACGATGTCTGTTCACCCATCTCCTCCCCCCTCTCCCTCTCTTTCAATACAGCCCACCGCCACCCTCACCCTCTACCCCACAACCACTTCCTCTTTCCATTCCAATCGCCATGCCGCCTACTGTTAGCTTTGGCATAGTGTACGCACACATTCTTACGTACTTATACATATATGTATGTATGCATGTAAACCTTATCACAGTGGTGTTCGCAGTGGAAGCACCTGTTCGTTTGTTATTTAATTTCTTTACAAGTAATATTACTTTACTTAATGTTTACTAATTATTATGAAATAATAATTATTATTTAATATTATGAGAGCAATAAGTTACAATAAGAGTTACCGATATCTGCTGAATATAAAATGTTCTAAATTATTCATAAAAAATTATATAGTATGTATTTTTATTCTAGATTAAAATTTAATAAATTTAAAATGAGCGTGCCTACCACCAGTTCCAAAATCCAATAATATTATTAGCACCGGCTTACTTAATTACAAATTTTTCTAAATGACTGGCATAATTTAATATTAATTATTATTTAATCCTGAGAGAACAAATGAAAAGGGGTACTCTTGGGTTCTACATTAATCATAAAAAATATATATGTACATGCATATTTTTATTCGGGATTAAATTTTAATAAAGGTTCCAAAATCCAAAACTATTTTTTGCACCGTTTTTTACTTTATTACAAATTTTCCTAAATGACTGGCATATTTGGTGAGCTAATTTTTTGAGCGCCATTGTGTTGCCCCACGTTGTGTGTTGTTGTCCACTGTTTTTGCTCAACCTCAGCAGTGGCCTGCCCCTCCCCACCCCTCCATCCATTCCCCTTCGCTTCATCGTTTCCCTTTCATCCTTTGGCCTCCCTCCCCCCGCCCCCTCTTTGGCAGTCTTCTTTGCTCCATTACTGTTTGGTTTATTTGTTGTTCGCTATCGCTCTCTCTCCCTCCCTCCCTCTATCTCTCTCTGTCTTCCGCTTGACTTGTGCGCAGATCCGACCTCTCCTTCCCTCTCACTCGCTCGTACACTCCAACCACCTCTCCCTCTCGCTCGCTCTTGAACATGTGCCTCGGCATCATTTTCGTCTTCTTCTTTAAGTTGGTTTCTTCTTTTTAAGTACTGTGGCCACTCGATGCAATGAACCCATGAGAACCGAAATTAAAGAGTTTAAATGTTTATCAAGTTTGTGATTGTTTAAAGTTCGAAGTAGTAAGATTTATACCCCAATAACTCCATTGTTATTAAAGTTAGTTTAACATATTTCTTGAATTGATAGTGTTTTACTCTAACTTCAGTGCCTGGAGTGTCCACTGTAGTTTCTTTTGTATGCTATTATTATTATTATAATGCTGCTCTGCTGGCTTTTGTGCTTGTGTTTCTCTTTTTGGGTTTTTTATGCTTTTACTACGTTTTTGTTTTTCCTATTTGTATTTAGTTTTTTATTCTTATAGTTTTTAAGCCTCTTTTTTTTTCTCGTACATACATTTTCGTCGTCTGCTGTTGTATGTGTGTTGTTATTTTTATTAATTTGTTTGCGCTGGGGCTGTTTTCTGCTTCTCTGCTTTTTGCCTTTTGCCATGCTGCTTGTGAAATTTGGCAACGGCGCCGCTTTAATCTTACGCGTACTTAAGTTTTTTGTTCTTCCCTCTCCCTCTCGCCTTCGTTTTCGCCTTGTGAAGTTTGGCAACATGCTTTCGTCTGCTGCTGCGACGCTTGGCTGAGTTTTTTGTTGTTTTCTTTTTTTTTTTCTTAATTTTCCGCTCTCCTCTTTCTTGTTGTTCTTCTTCTATTTTACTTTTGTACTTTACTGGAATTTCGTGCTTAATTTTCGCATCTTAAATTCAATTCAATTTTCATAGTGTGAATTTAATTTACTATTTCGTTTCGTCGTTGTTTGCATTCTCCTCTTTGTTTTATTTATTTGCGGCTGTGCAGTTTAATTGCTTTCATTAAAAGCAAACACAGTTGCAAAATTGCTAAATAACAAAATAAAACAAAAAAGAGAGAAGGAGGAGGGATAAAAACGCTGACTGCGAAGCCGGCAGAGGCAGAAAAACATGTGGCCAAAAATATTGGAGAGTTTTTCATGGCAACGTTGCCAAACTTCAGAACCCATGAGTTTCTACCAGGGCAGCTGTCTTCCTCTCCGCTTATATACATACATATGTATTTATATGTATGTTATATATGCAATACATATATGCTATCAAATGATAGATGAGTGGGCGAAAAATTATTGATGAGTTTTGCTTTTAAAGAGTTTCAGTTCCGCTGGGTTTTGAAATAAATTTAGCAGCTATACAAGAGGTTTTTTTTTCGGGATTGGGTAAAAGTTTCTATAACAGAAGTTGGGCTTAAAATGTGGCCGAAATTCTTGTTAAACTACCGTTAAAAATGCGGTTAGGTTTTAATTTCAGAAGGCTTTAAGTTTCTTTTTTCCGCTTTGAAGAGTATTAGTCATTTTTTGTTATTCTTCAAATTCGATTAATTATTTTTAGTATATTATAATGATGATGATATATTCAATAGATACATATATATATTTTTTTTGTGATTGTAAAATATCAAGCTATCTATTTCATCTTTATCATCTTCCTAGAATTATTCAATTAAACTTACTGTTTGTTTTTTCGTCTCCTGGAGTTTTTATTTGCAAACCAATTTGGCAAACCAATCGTTAAAAATTAATGAGCATATTCCGGAATAATTATATTTCTGTTGGCATTTAACGAAAAAACCATTAGAATCTGTTGAATCACTTCGTCTTGCTTTGCTAGAAGTCTGTGAATTTGAATCGATTCATTAATTCCCTTTTATTTGAAAATAATTATGGGAATTTAATGAACATTGCGTTTAGTGATCATCAAAAACGCACATTGGCAATGAAAATGACTATTAAAAATTCTGACCTTTGATTTTCCCTTCTTCAGTCTCATAATAATATAGTTATAAATATTATATTATTATTTTTAGTATTTATTTAAGGCTTATAACTGATTATATTTAACGATAATTAATGGAAAATGAGGAATACAACATTTATTTCAAAATAGCTAAGTTAATCGACTTGATAAACGATATCGAAAATTATATATTCCTATCGATTTGGTAATCGAAAGCAAAAATAAACATGAAAAGTCATAATATTTTTAAAATTAATTTGCAATCAAAGCGATTTACTTGATTTGGTAATCGAAATGATCGATCGATTGATAAACGATTTAAAAAAATGATGTATTTCTATCGATTTGGTAATCGAAAGCAAAAATCCACATAAAAAGTCGTACTATTTTTAAAATTAATTTGCATCATTTACTCGATTTGGTAATCGAAATGATCGATCGATAGCCAGATTGCTCAGAAAAGTGTATTGAATTAATGTTTTTCTATCGATCTGGTAATCGAAAGCAAATTACCAGATAAAAAGAAGTAAAATCAATACTCAATCAAGGCGAGAAGCCAAATTAAATGTCGTAATATTTTTAAAATCACTTAGCAATCAAAGCGATTTACTCGATTTGGTAATCGAGATGATTGATCGATAACCAGATTGCTCAGAAAAGTGTCATTCATTTGAGAGTAGTAATTTTTGTTGAAGTACTCGGTTACTTGGCCGTGTGTGTGCGCTTTCTGTTCTACCCACAAATGCTCGAGATCTGGAGGACTTTTGGCCGTAAATACCTTAAGCCCCCGGTCGATAACAAAAGTAGGATTGCGATGGCTGGGCAATCGGCAATTCAATGACAGAAATTATCGCAGACGCGATAATGCGCTCTGCACTTCAAACCGGTGACCGGGTTTTAGGGTTTCGGGGTTTTTGTCGTCTGTTACGCGGGGGGGGTGAACATTATCTGCTGGAATATTTATGGCCATTATCGATTTTCTAATCATCTAACCTGCTATCGTTTTTTCCCTCCATATGTGTGGTTTGCTTTATTTTTGTTGCAAATAATACTAATCAGAGTGTTTTTCTCTTTCTTTCTTTTTTGCAGGTCGAAATGGACGGCGGTTGGATGATAAAAAAAAACAAAGTAAACTTCTTTTGTTTTTGCCTCTTTTTTTTTCCGGTGTGTGTCTTGTGATAGAGCGACAGAGAGGGGGCGAGAGTGAGCGAGCGAGAGGGCGATAGAGGACTGAAAAAAAAGTGTGCAAGAGCTGTTAATTAATGGAAAAATTCGTCTCGTTTGCGTTGTCGTGTTTTTCGGTTCGGTTCGTTTAGAGGATTAAAAAAAATAAAAATTCATAATGAAATAATAAAAAGTAATAATAAAACCAGATATTAAAAAATATGCCACACACGGACACACACACACATCGTAATACCGGAGATTTACTTTTTCGAATGTGTTGAATGGCCAAATCAATTAAAAAAATTTTTTTTGCAATTTTTTTTTTTTGATTTTACGCAAAGTGAAGTGTTGCAACTAAAAAAAAAATGATGGAAAATAAATCCAAACAAGAAATGGAAAATAATATTTAGTGCTAAAATCGCCTTATCTTCTCATTCCAGAGCAGTGTGTGTAAATAGTAAAAAAAAAAAAAAGAATCAAGAGAGAAAAATTTATAAATATATATATAAATCGAAAGAAAAAGTGCAGTCAAAAAAAAAAAATTAAAATGCAATCACATTGAGGCAACTGTTGTTGCCTCGTTGCAGCAACAACAGCAACCCGAAAGAGAGCAACTTAAAAAGTTAATAGTTCTAAACTTGAAGAGTAAAAATAAGTAAAATAATAATAATAATAATAATAATAATACAAAAAAAATCCTAGTGCTAACTTTAAAGCGAAATTTTTTTTGTGGGGCAATTCCGAGAGAATGTCGCAGTGCAATAATGTTGCAACTGTCGGCAGCAGCAACAAAAGCAACAGCAACAGCAACAACAGCAGCAACACGTTAACACCAAACAACAAATCAATCATCAATTCTGCGGCCAACAACAAGTGTTTAAGCCAAAAGAGTTCGGCATGAAATGGAAGCAGCTATACGCTCCACTTCAGTGCAGGTCGGTGCTCCGCCGCCCACAAACAACAACAACAACAACAACAGCAGCAGCAGCAACAGCAACAACAACAGCAGCAGCAACAGCAGCAGCAACAACAGCAGCAACAACAACACACCCAACGGTGCGCAGCAGCAGCAACATCATCAGCAGCAACAGCAGCAGCAGCATCACCAACAGCAACGGGTTGTTGCCAGCAGCAACCAGCAGCAACAGCAGCAGCTGCAGCAGCAACAGCAGCAGCAGCAGCAGCAACAGCAGCAGCAGCAACAGCAGCAGCAGCATGATAATGGACCAACGTCCCATCATTTGCATCAATCATCTATCAGCATCTCTAATCAGCAGAATAAAGCAACGCAACAGCAACAGCAGCAACACCAAAAGCAACAACAGCAACAGGCTGCCAACATGTCCGCGTATCAACAACGCCTGCCATCAAATGCAGCACCGCTTCACAGGTGAGTTGCGGTTTTGTTAATGTAGTTAACTAAACAGAAAGAAATATGTTCAAATTGAAGGAAAAGGTCCAAAAGTGTCGTCTTCGAATGATGTCAAATTGATAGTGAAAAATGCTATGAAATCGAAATCAGTGTAGAAGAACGAGTTCACGTCCTTAGAAATGAAGTAATGGCGATATAAACTTGATATTGAAAATTACGTTTTTCACTTTCGCCTCCAAATTGGTCTTAAATCGAAAAAAACGTGTGAAAAAGGCAAGATTAAAACTTGAGAAATGAAGTAATCTTAAAGGAAACTTGATATTTAAAGTTGGGGTTTATGCCTTTGAGTCATAAATACTTTTAAATCGAAAATAGTGTTGGAAAAATTAAGTATTAATAACCTAAACTTCGTATAGACAATTTGGTTTTTCGATTTCGCTTCGAAAATACTCCTATATCCAAAATAGTGTGAGAAAATGAGTTGACGTCCTTAGAAATAAAGTATTAATGTAAACTTGATTTTGAAAATCACAATTTTCACTTCCACTTGCTTTGAATTAAGAAAAAGTGTGAAAAAACTAGATGATGTTCCTAGAAATGAAGTACTAATAGTGTAAACTTGATATTAAAAATTACGTTTTTCACTTTCGCTTCGAAATTGGACTTAAATCAGGAAAAGTGTGAGATAGCGAGATTAAAACTTGAGAAATGAAGTATTAGTAAAGCAAACTTGATATTGAAAATTGCGTTTGACACTTTTGAGTTAAAAAAATGCCATTAAATCGAAAATAGTGTGAGAAAAAACGAGGATACGACCTTAGAAAATAGGTATTTATATTGCAAACTTGATAGTGAAAATTGAATTTTTTGCTTTTGCTTCAAAGGTACTACTCCTAAATCAAAAATAGTTTGAAGAAAGCTTTAGAAATCTTTAGAAATGAAAGTTTTTATAATGTAAAATTTATATTGAGTATTACGATTTTCACTTTCGTTTAAAAATACTTTTAATTAGGAAATCAAGTAAAAAACGAGGTGACCTTCTTAGAAATAATAAATTATTAATTGATATTGAAATTTTTGGCTTTTGCTTTGAAAATACTCTAAACACAAAAACAGTCAAAAAGCTGAATTAATTCAAAAATGCTACTCTTGAAAAATAGTTTTTCACCTTTCTGAAATAATGAAATTCATCAAAACGATTATTCCGTAACATTTTTTACCTGTGTAGCCACAGGAAACTTGATTGTGAAAAAGAAAAAAAAACAAAAGGAAGAAAAAAAGCATCCTAATACAAGTGGTAATCAAAGTTACCCATTTCCACCCAGTAAATTTCCGCCGCAAAGCTCATTTCCTGTCTGCTGTCTTTCGCAGCCTTTTCCCCATTCAGTTTTCCCTGCTTTTCCAGTTGCATGAAAAACGGAAAGTTAAGAACTGGGTGGTGCAAACTAATAGAATGACGGATGGTCTTCCTCTCTGATATAATCATATTTATATTTAAATGGCCTTTTAAAAAACAAGAAGTGCATAGAAAACTTTGGCTTTGAAATTTTAACTTGTTTCCTTTTAGTTGCCTTTGAGCTTTTGCTTTCCTCTGACATGGCAGAAAATCTGTTTAGGAATTTTTTTCCCCTTTTATTTTTGCAGATGAAAAAAAATGTTGAACTAATTAAGTGTTGTTTAAAGCCAACTGCATATTAATTTCGCGATTTTCTATTACAAAATGTGGCTGTCATGTCTGTTTGGAATTTTAAACTGCATTTCAGCTTCTTCAGAAGTTGAACAAGTGGCAGTTTTCCCAGGTTTTGAATTTCCTTGCCAGCCATTATTATTTTCCATCAAGCAATTATATATGTAAACTCCATAAGGCTTGTACAATGTATGTTTTCCCATCCTCTGACTGAAAGTATTATCTGTCCATCAATTATTTAGATTCCCTTTATACAATTTTCCTGTTGAAAAGTGTAGGTTTCACTCTTTTCCATGGGCTAATCAATGCACAGAAAATGTTTATTCACATTTTCTTTATATTATATCATCAGTATAGATTCAAAGGTTTCGAATTTCCCTTACAATTATTTAGTTTTTGGTTTTAATTTTCACACACAGAACCGTTAACATATGTGCATTTATATTATTTTCCCTTAATTTTAGTTGCAATTAGTTAGTTTTGGTTTTAATTTCCACACACACACAACATTTACTTATGTGCATTTATATTATTTCCCATTAATTGGCTAAAGCTGGACATTGTGGGGTTTGGGGTTTTATTTTCCTTGAAATCAATTATATTGCTTCCTTCGCTTTTTTGTTATCCTGTTGTGGGCGTTTGGTATTATTTTTCCTCAACGTAATTGCATTTATCCTGCGCAGTTTCTGGCGAGAAAATATGGAAAAGCTGCTTGTGGGGTATTAGTTTCCATCGTGATTTTGCAGTAACTTTTTGCGGAAAATTGCAAATTGCGTTGGTTTTGTACTTTTCTGTGTGAGGGCTTTAGTTATCCATAACGAATGTTTAAAAATAAATGGCATTGAAATGGATTCGTGGAAATATTATGAAGGGTTTTAGCTTATTTCTCTGAAGGTTAAGTTCCAGATTTTAATCATCACTTGACTTTCAATTTAAATTCTCAGAAAGTAGGTCTCAAATTAGACTCATCTTGCAATATTGTAAGCTAGATACTGAAAAATACTATGCAATCGAAATCAGAAGTACAAATAATGTTAAATTGATATTGAAATTGGCAAACGAATGGCTAAAAATAAATTGCATTGCAAGGATTCGTGGAAATATAAAAGGTTTTAGTTTATTTCTCTAAAGATTGAGTTCCAGATTTTGTTTATCAGTCTTCAGACTTTCAATTAAAATTCTCAGAAAGTAGGTCCCTATTTAGATAAGATTTCGAGTCACATAAAAGTGTCATCTTGAAATGTTGTAAATTTGTTACTAAATAATACCAAACAATCGAAATCAGAGTGAAAAATCGAGATTACGTCTTTAAAAATGTAGTATCAAGAATGTTAAATTGATATTGAAAATGGCAAACGAATGGCTAAAAATAAATTGCATTGCAAGGATTCGTGGAAATATTATGAAAGGTTTTAGTTTATTTCTCTAAAGATTGAGTTCCAGATTTTGTTTATCAGTCTTCAGACTTTCAATTAAAATTCTCAGAAAGTAGGTCCCAATTTAGATAAGATTTCCAGTCACATAAAAGTGTCATCTTGAAATGTTGTAAACTTGTTACTAAAAAATACCAAACAATCGTAATCAGAGCGATAAAACCAGATTACGTCTTTGGAAATGAAGTACAAAGAATGTTAAATTGATAATGAAAATTGCAAACGAATGACTAAAAAGAAATTGCATTGTAAGGATTCGCGGAAATATTATGAAAGGTTTTGTTTTATTTTTCAAAAGGTTCAGTGCCAGACTTGTTTTTGTTTATCTATCGACTTTCAATTAAAATTCTCAGAAAGTAGGTCCCAATTCAGATAAGATATCCGGTCACGAAAATAAACTTGCATCAAGTTTATTTATGTTTTTAGATTGCAACTTTCAAGTGGTTTCTAATAAAACCTATAATGTATTGAAGACTTTTATAAAGAATAATGTGTAGACAAGTTTTTGCTGCATTTATGTAGTTCTGCGGGCCAATTAATTGACCTTGACTCGTTTCAATGACATTTGTGTTACTATCTTCAACCAGTTTTATCTAAAGCTATGCTAATTTTGCATTTTCTTTGTTGTCGTGGAAACAGGTGGCATTCAAATATGTTAATAGGTATTAAAGGTCCATAAGTGATATTCATAATTTGGTTTGTTAATAGAAAAAACTGGAATCTATGGGGTAAAGTAAAAAATACTAAAAAATATCTAAATTATAGCTATATTCCTTGGATATATATTTTTTATATTTTACTTGTGGCGAATATAAGATCATATAAGATAAAAGATCAACGTAGGTCTTGAAAATTACATGTTTAACCTTAACCAAACATTTCCGTAATTATTATTATTGTTTTTGGCAACCTTAAAAGTGCAAATATCACTTGGCCCCACATTTTGCATTGCAATTGATTTCATAATTTGCATTTTCAACGCCAGTTGGCAAAAATGAGTCATGGCAAAAAATGTAAGATAATATGGGGATTTACAATGTACATACATATATAGGCATAAAAAAGGTGGTAAAAAATCCGGAAAAGGTAAAAAATACAAAAAACAGATGATAATGATAATGATGATGAGGTTTGGTATTCAGTTTTTTGTGGTCTAGAGACCAAGACAAGCGAAAAACAAAGCGGGAAGTGGAAAGTAGACAAAAGACAAGGTGATAAAAATGGAAATGAGAGGAGAAGCTAAAAATAATAATATGTAATTTGACACCATTGACCTGCCACAATGATTACAGTAAGGGTTAAAACGCAACAACAATAGAGAATTGGTCGTCTCCCTTTTCTTAACCCTTTTTATTTGCCTTTTTGCTCTTCCTAAATACAGGCAATTAGATGAGATGCAATTTAAAATATATACTAACAATTTTTTTTGCTGTAAAACCGCAAAATAAACGAAGATGCATCAAGGGTTTTTACTATAGTTTAGCCGCAAATGTTATGTTTATAGATCTTTTCTAAGGAAAAACCACAAAATGTCATTAGTAGACGAGGGATTATAGAATACATTTATTGTTTAACACACGTTTTCTATAGATTTTTGATTGGTTAAACATTTGTACCACAATATTATAATCAATTTTAACCATAATTCAATCATGGTTTTTAAGAAAAAAGTGTGTAACCAGACTAGAATAACAAAAAAATATTACGCCAATCATTAGTGGTTATTTATATTTTTAATGGACATCTGGTTTTTGGAGTAAATTTATATTTTCCTCATTTTAAGGTATTTAAAATTCTTTTAAAGCTTAGGATTTATCTAACGAAACCATATCATAACGCAAACCAGTAATTTTCTATAGAAGTTTTATTCTTTTAAACATATTTTATTAGTATGACCT